TTCTACGGCAAAATAAGCGCTTCCACAATACACGCTGGAAAGAAGAAGAGGGTTGAGTTTTTTGGAAGACCGAGTGCGACAGAGAGAACAGAGTATTAACTGATAACTCCGTGATAATAATCAAATACTGGGGACAGTTACCAAGCCGAAATGAATCTTTTGGGCTCTAAAATGAACGAGGTGGCACATACACCCGCTAAAATGCAGACCTTCGGCCCTGGTCGGTCTTGGCTTGCTGACCATTGATTCAAGCATCTGTGTTGCACAAATCACCGGTTTACCATCTCGATTGCATTTTGCGATGAGCATTTTCTGTACAAGAAATACTTTAGAAGCAGGAATTTCGATCCCGAGATCACCGCGTGCCACCATAATGCCATCCGATGCCGCAATGATTTCATCAGCTCTGAAAATCAGGTGCAAATTCATGAGCATGTTTGCCAAAGGACGAAATGAAATATGTTTTTGCGGTCATGAGAGAAGTGGAATTTTATGGACAAGACGTGTTGCTCAACTTGCTGACAGCTTGCGGACCTCACTTCAAAAACATACTTCTGCTTTATGCATCTTCGCGTGCAAGTGCAGATGGGAAAATTGCTAACTCAGGAAACAGAAAGGCTGGACAGCTGAAATTTTAGGGTAATGTTCCCCGTCCAAGTACAACTTAAAAATTTCAAATTCAGCCCCCCGCATGGTTCTCCCATATGGGAAAGCAAAAGTTTTGGTCTGAAGGTTGCTTATTGAACAGGTAGGTCATCTTCAAACTCTCCTAGCATTTTTCTATGTATTTGGTAAATTTCAATCAACAAAGCAATAAACCAGACACTAACTTATCTACTCCTTCCTGATTTTCAATTTTAGCTATAATTTTGATATGTTTTCCTTTTTCACCCAGTATTTTACGAATTGCACGAATTCCGTTGGCACTGCGCGTGAACGATGCAAATACGAAGTCCACTTCCTGGAAATGAATTTCATGATGCAACGATGTGTATGAATTCCGAGAAGGCTCGTATAATTTAAATTTAGCGATTCAGCAAAATGGCGTACTTCTGACCAAATTCAGTGCCTGTTTTTTCTTTTAGTCCGACTAGCATTTCAGCGCTAAATTAACCTTCCACAAAAGTAAATTCTGTTATACAGCAATTTTAGTTCATATATAATCAAATTATGTGGAAAATTAGCTAAAATTAATAAAAACTTTGATTCAAAACTTGGCGACACAGTTCATCCGTGGCTGAACTTGGAC